ATTAGAGTTGAGATGGGTCAATGTTTCCTGAAGTGCAGCTGATTCAAGTTTCAGTTTACACAAATATCAAACTAGCGCTATCTGTCGCTTACCGATTTGGTTAAAGAATGATCAAAGTAGTGAGTTTAAACAAACGACTGAAATAAAATGCAGAATAGTTGAATTCAAAATCTGAATGGAAAGATAAATGCTTTTCTAATGAAACCACCAGATTTGTGTACGGATGGGATTGACTTTTATTCTAAGTGAAAGCATAGTAACTGTTACTGACAGGAAACTTTCATTTGATTATTGTGCATTGTGCAATTAGTCATATAATTTGAATTTAGGAGCTGACCGGAACTCTTCATACTCGTTTTCATTGGATACTTGCTCGGTAAACAGTTCAACTTTATGAAAATATCCATAGGCAAACGATCGGCACAAGTTCTTTATAGTAACTTTGTTTTCGCAATTTCTAAACGTGCGATTTTAATCCCAAGCAAGTTTACAGAACATTCATTAGTTTGTGAATATGCATGTGCGTTTGCGTGTTTTCCCTCATGATGCATTCTCTTAAGATGCCTAAGCGCATCTGTAAGACCTATTCTGACGCTGCAAAATTCAACCCCAATAACCCAGAGGATAATTGTTGCTAGTGGTCGTAATTTGTTCATTTAAGTGCCCGTGACGCCTTCCACTATGGTCTCACGGTTTGGTGATTATCCTCCCTGAGGAAAGAACACCACATACACTGGCTTAGTCACGGTTAATCAATCTCCATAGCCCTCGTCCCAAACCTTGTAGACAATTGTTATCACACAGACTCCACCGAGTATTTTCGATGCCTAAATAGTTATAGACTAGTCCGACCATGCACACTGGAATCCCCACGAAACTATTTAAATAAAACATTTCATCCCCGAATCCCTGCTCACCTAAACTGCCACTTCAGGTCCTTCTTCTCCTATAGCCTACACTGCCACGGCCGCAGACATCAACGTCACACGATGATAACCTAATGACACATATTCCAATCAATGTGATTGAAGGGGTATCTCGTCCGTTTCCACCCAACTACGCACTCAAACCAATGTTTGCATTGTGAATCGTCTCTTAAGCCCGTTGGTTCTGAAAGCCATATATCGTGCTGACAGCTTTAGAGATTTCGAAAATCATTTTCCTTCAGATCGCGCTCTTTGTGTGTGAAAATAAAATGGCGCGGATTCCCCTACAAGATCACGTTTGTCCTAAATGGGATTTCGTCCGATACGATTGCTGTTCAGGCAAAAAATTAAGTTTCGTGAATGAAGGACGAATGAACCCGTAGATTGTATTTCAATAGCTCAAGAGAATTGAATAAATTGATCAACTGAAAACCCAATTCCCTAGCGACTTGATGGGACTGAAATAATAATAAAATGTGTGTATTGTGTGAATACATGTTTCGTCCTTATTCACTTGGTGCTTTAATGCGCCTACATTTATGCCTCGCGGAAAGGAATGAGATAAATGGGAAAGCGCACTAGTAACCACACACCTCTCACTCACGCAAGACACTCGCTTCAGTTGATTTCTCCCATCCAATCCCCTTGGAAACCATGTTATTCCGTAATCTAATGAAGCAAATAAAACCATTTTCAAGATGTTTAAAATGTGGTCTTGTATATAAAGGCACTGTTAAGCAAATTTTCAAAGTTTCAGTTTTTACAACCATTCACTTTCTTGCGCCGGTTTTGGTTGCTGTCTTTTAGTCGTCCATTCGGATAAAAGAGTAGCATGAAGATTGGAATGTTGAAAGCAAATTCAAGAGGAAGACAGAATTCATATAGATTGGTGTTACAAGAAAAGTGAGTGGATGCATGAGTGCCACTGTTCGCGACACAGCCAAATCGCTCGGTGTCTGTATTCACTTCACTTGGTAGTACAATGTCCTCTGCATACTCTAGATTAAACAGTCTGCCGCCTGGAAGCAAATCGATACCGCCGTCCTCACAGGAGGATAGGGCTGTTTCAAGAATTGAATTTTCAAAATTATTTATTTTTCTTATCGGAAGAAACTGTGAATAGGTTCACAATAGTTCCTTTATGTACCGATTCGGTTTGTGCAAATTTGCCGGCATTTTTACCTGTTGCTAACTGAGACACGTGACTAACACACAGTTGACTGTTAACACATCTGATGAAAACCCATTCTCTGTAGAAGTTCAACCGATTTGCAAGACGGAATCTGTTGGCTTGCATTAGTTGGTCTATATCCATATTCGGTTTGGCTAATATCGGAATATGTGTTTCCCGGTTGGTTGAATCTTTTTGGAATGCCGTGTATTCGAATAAAGCAACTTCATACTCATCGCTTAATGATAAGCGTCAATACCAAATCTTTGTTGATCGACTCAGTTTCCAAGATCTGTGTAAAACAATGAGACATCTGTTGACTATTGTGTGTCGCTAGCCGATTTGCGCCTTGTCGCGTAATATCTGAGTAATTGAAACTCTCCATGGAACTAAGATCTGACTATCCAATCAAAAATAACACCATATCTTTTCAATCTTTCTTGTTTTTATACCCTGCAGTTGCAGTGTTTTCAACTAAGTATTGGATCTGACATTGTGGCAGGAAGTGTGATTGGTTAGACAAGCCAAACTGTGCGCTGTACTCTGATCTGATCAGAATAATGTTTACGCTAATTTGATCATGCGCTTCCATAAAATCGGACAAAACTTTAGCAACCATCCAGACACTTGTCCACCAGGACAGGACATTGAAGACAGAAAATAATTTATTAATGGTAATGCAAAACTTTCTTCAGTGCTTCAAAAGAAAGCGATTTATGACAATAACAACACTAAGCTACTTATATCTGGACACTTACAATTGTTAGGACTAGTTTGGGCTCTGGTAGGTAGACCAAGTTGAACGTTGTATTGGATTATTGATTAAGTAAATCTGAGTTTCATTATATAATGATGTTCAGCTTTCATTTTGCAACGAGAGAACCTTCGATTAATAAAGTTAATTGCGTTCCGTGACCGGATTCGCACAGTTTCGTTGACTTCGATATATAAAAATCTTAATCGAAAACGAACTACAAACGAATGTTCGGATCTTACTATGTTTTACTTTTATTGATCGTTTGGCAGCACATGAGTTTCAAGAAGGCGAATCCAAAATAACCGAATTTTATTAACTTCTGCGGGTGGATATATCTTTTTATCTGTTTTGGGGAATTGTGAATTTCGTATAGTCAAACCGCAATAATTCTTCGCCTCGATACGATTTTTTTTTCAAATCTTGCTCATATTACACCTCTGCACGAGTGCCAACGCGCTAAAGCAGACCTTTTGTAGGTTAAACTGGCTTATTAGTGTTTCTAATGTCATTAACGAATGAGACAAAAATGGTAATTTTGTTATAAGAAGTTAGACGCAGCTTCAACTAAAAATCGAGCTAGTTTCTTTCTGGGCATGCAACAGGAAAAAAAGCGAAATGTAAAGAAGTGATCAGCGATAAAGACCGGAGTTACTAAATGTACACAATATTAGAACCACCCTGAGAGACCTAAGCAAATCGCGGTAACGATACAGTATGGAAATCCACACATAACCACGACTGCTTCTATGGTTTTGTACGCACAAGCCAACCTTTGCACTGTGTCATATGCGCGCTATAGCATACTCCACTTTTCCTTAAAACCCACCTGGTCGGGAACCGAATAAGGTGCTAATTGAGTCAGTATCCCATTGCAAAGAGAACTGTGAAGCTGACTGAATATATTTAAATCCGGTGGAAATGTGAGTGACAACCGAGCACTGGACAGCTGTTTCGTCTTGGGACTCGTCAGAGTGAAACCCACTCCCAAGATCATCAACAATTTCTGGTGCCTGTGAAAAACCGAATGCGCTCAACGAAACATTCACCGTCCCAAATGATTATGGTTTAATGTACAAAATAATGCAGCCATCAAACTTGAACATCACATTTTGAGGTGTTTTTCAAGGATCGCAACTGATGGACTCACTTATCTTGACTCTATTCCTTTACAACGGATCAATGCATCACGCACTTCAGTATTTTGACTTCAGACTTCCAGCGGGTAGTTTTTTGTTTCAAAGATCAAGATTACATGATCATTACAGTAACAACAGTTGTGAATAACTTTGATATATAAAGTTATGTTTACCGCGTCAAGGAAATTTAGACATCCTGGTGCGTTATTACCCAGATTATTGAAGACCTCTCTTACATGATAAATTTGTGACTCGGTTATCTTCGGTATCAATGACCCCTTGGGAGTCTGGTGCTACTCATTCCTTGTTAATTCAGACATCATCGAAGTCTGGTGCAGAATTCGTAGTTTTTAGGAGCGTGAGCTACTACCGAAAAACCAGAATATATTGATTTTTTGAGAGGGCACTTGATGCCTGTCAGTTACCATTGCTAAGTGCCTTTCCGCACCCGGGACGTGTTGATTCAATCGTGAAATGTAGCTGTCAAGGAAAGTTTTGCTGTGGAATGTCCTCCAAAATTGACCTAGGAAATCTTGTGACTTCCCCGCTGACAACTCGTGACAACTTCGATAGAGTTTGCGCTTCAGCATAAAGCATCCAGGAGCGATTTTTAAATCCTTTGGTCACAGTGCATAACCCAAGTCAAACTGAGGTTGCAGAACGACGATAAAGCCACAAACACTTACGTAGCTGCTGAAATGGACAAACTGGAGTACAGTATTAAATAAATAAATATTTTTACCGACTTTTCTTCATTGATTTTCAAAAAGCCTTCAGGAAATGGGGCGTGGCCATACAAAGGTGGCCTACGGAAACAGATAATGGGAAGATCGGCGGCGATGACGGCACTGAAACCCAGGAACTATGGGTGACCAACGACCTTGCCACCAGATCACCGCGTCTCATCGGGATGTGATTGAAATACGGTTCGAACTAAGCGATATCGATAAAGGTCGTCAAATGGCCACCGGATTGTCCTCATTTTTTGTAGTCGCATATGCAAGGATCCGATGAATGTGAGAAATATCCCAAAGGATGACATTACTCTGTTGCTCAACTGCCATCTGAATTTGCCTAAGGATGTGCGCAGTCAAATTCACATTGTCATGTTGCAGAAACTTCAGTCATTCGATCTACCGGAGATCCTTTCACTGTCGCAGAAGGAAAATGTCTCCGGGAATTGCTTCCCGTAGCAGTGATTGACACTTCCTTCAACCACTGTTTAAACGAGCACCTGCAGTGAATGTAGAACGGTGAATATACTGAACAAACACGTCGGGTTGTTGAGACGGAGGCTAACACCACTCGTTGACACACTGGCTCTAATATCGAAGACCCGGTGTTTTAGACTCGATGTTTGATCCTGCTAAAACTATCATTTCAAGTGATATCGACGGCAATTTCGATGAGATTTGAAGGTACCTAAGGGGGAAAGTAAATCAACGTGTGATAGTGGGTTATTTTACTAGGAAAACCGTAAAAATTCAGCAGGTCATTCTTTGACAAAAAACTGTTTAACCATTAGGAAGTTTACGGAGTAATGAAATAGAAAAGTCAATGAATGAACAATTTGAAAATGTATTTTCGTATTCCACTAGGAATGTACTGTATTGGGGTAGAATAATTGCACGTTTGTAAGCACTGTGAAATTGAATATGATCAGTCGTGAACTTTTACTAGGTTTCACTTGTACCGTGCCACTGCGATTAGTGAGAGTTGGCATGCACGTACGCGGATGTCGTTGATGTACAATTTTAGGATAATACTTTCTGGTATCAGTTGTATCAGTTGTTGTACTCTAGGAAGGGTATCATTTGAGTGATTGCTAATTATATATTTCAAATCTACACTGTTGGGAAATGGGTTGACGAAAACATAAAACAAGCAATACCAAGGCAAACTTAATAAGTAAGCAGTAAGAAGCCTTAAACAGAGCGCTTATTAGAGAAGAGGCAAGCCAGAAAACGGGACAGAACGTTTGCAAAAGATCGGCTTGCGCAGAATGAATATCGGTGAGGGAAAAGGGAATTACAAGTAGAAAGAAGTCCAAAAACTAAACTATCATATGATAACTCGGAGTGTGATGAAGATAATGGAGGATTTCTGAGATGTTTTGCGGGTCAACCATCAAAGGTACACAACGCAAAGTTGCAAACAAAGTAACAAAACGAAGGACACGATCGAATTATTCGGGTGACATTTTCGATAGAAATCAGAACATATGACGGCCTCTGCTCTCAAAACAAAGATTAAGATTTTAAACAAAAAATGGTACGCACAAACGACAAGTTTGAACAACGTCGGTAAATCAGTGCAATGGCCTTTTTCAGCTGTCACAATGATTTCCGCCTGAAAGTCTACTTGTGGCGTTTGCTATCAGAAGCCACGCCCGAAGGCAAAACAATTCACACGCGTGATAGAACAATATGTTAGCAGTTTATATTTTCAAACTCTTTCTAAAATTTCCTCAGGTGACATGATTGATGGCGAAGTGCCATCCGTAAGAAAAGTATTATTTAAATGAGAAACCTTTTCATAATCATCCGTATTAGTATAAAATAGAAGAAACAGTTACAGTAATGCAGTCGATCGGAAAATCCATTGGGATTCCTTGGAAATAATTAGGTAATATGAGGAACTCCTGCGGTGTATGCTGTAATTTGACGCACTATAAGAAAACTGAAATATGCTTATAACTCACTTGGTAAACATTTGAGTGGATTACATTGTATGAACTTCCAGGAGGGGAAAACAGATGTGAATTTACTGCAACGACATTGTGTTCAAAAATGAAAGCTATCCAAACAAAACATGGATAACATACTGTGTTATATGAACGAGAATAATAATGGCAATCAGCGACCTGCAATATTCACTTACGTGCATCCAAATATTAAGTTTACTCTAGAGCCGGAAACTAACAACCAGATCACATTTTTGATTTTTGTCTCAAACGCCGTGAAGAAGGTTCTATCCAACGCTTAGTGTATAGGAAAAGCACGTGGTTCAGTCGAAGTCAAAGGTTCGTACCCCTCAAAGGAATGTGAAACTTGATTCAGTGTCTCACCAGCAACGTGCAGAAAATTTGCTCAGCACATACAGTTCACAACAAATAAGGATATCTGTGACAGGCCGTTCAACAAAATGGATACCCGAGTGGGTTTGGGAGTAGCGTATTACAACGTTACACAAACGATGGGAACACTACTGTAGTAGAAATGAGGCCAATTTACCTAAGATTGCATTTAGAGGTGGCAATGTGACGGAAATAATTACTCGAACGTTGACAACTGCGATCAGTCAAACGTTTCGTGCAGCGAAACTCCGTATCACACTCGCGTCCAGATCCGGCCTCAGGCTGCAAATCAAAGATAAAGTTCCTATTTCTGTAACGTCATTCTGCGTGATTCTTTTACTTTTACCTGTGGAACAAAGTACATCGGTCACCAAAGCAGACGTTTGACTCAGAGAATTCGTGAGCATCATACGGCGTGGTTGCACCCTGGGGTGGGAAAATCAATTATGATCACTTAGTTGATTTGACCAAGACGTTTCACTATCTGTCCAACAAGTTTATGAATTTCAGTCTAAGCGAATCATATATCGCATCCTGGATACAGCTGAAGCTGTGGGAATTTGCATTCGCAATCCACCCTCGTGTGAAGTCGTTGTTTTCCATGACCTTCCATCCAACCCATTTTCACCCGTCACTCCCACTCTTTGGCAAATCTGATATATATATATTCTTTTCAGGTTTAATAATTTATTACTGTCATTTTTTGTAAATAATATCTCCGATCTCTCTTATTTTATGCTAGTTGTATCAATTGTGGTGTACCAACCAAAGAAGATAAAACACTGGAAACACGTTTTGTTCGAAGGAGTTGTACGACGAAAATAAGAAATATTGTGCATAATAAAGAATAAACTCAGAAGTTCGAATCAGTATCAGACAAAATAACTGTTGGACAAAACTGTAACCGTTATCTTTCTCTGCTGTCATTAAACTAATCGATCTAGAATTTTGGCCATCATAACTTGTGAGAACATGTGGATGATTTGAGGGTTTTCTCATAGTCTCAATGTGGGTGAGAACTGGATCGGATCCCATGTACCACGGTTTCCTTATGGGAATAAGATCAGTCCGAAATAATGATCACTGTAGTAGAAAGTTCTGTGTGCATGAAACATTCCGACATCACCCTTATCCAGTTGACGTTTAAATGTGAGGGTAATGGAGCTGAACAGTACTAATGTAAGCCAAATATTCGGTAACATTTTCAATAAGCCACCAAAGATGCTGCACTATCCACATGGATTGCATATCCTGGAGCTGTTATCTCTTGTGCGAAGCGTCTGATAAAATATGAAATCATAACATTTGCTAACGAATTTGATACATTGAACCTCTGTAATGCGGAAAATTAATTGAATATGACCACCAGTAGTTCACTTCTGTACTCTGTAAAAGTCTGTTCAACGCCTTTTTGTACTGCCATGTGACGCAAAGCTTCTCAACGCTGTTTTATTTTAAATTTCAGAAAAATTTCCTACTTCAAATGCCACAAGTGACCACTGTGATTTTGTCCCGAAATATGTTTACGCAATTCCCTGAGGGTGAACCGCAGCAAATGAAAAATATCAAGGTGAGTAGATTCTTTTCAATCTGTCTGGATTTACATGTTGATTTGGAATTTTTGCATCACGTATATCTGCTACTGCAGAGCTTTTTAATTCAGAGTTTTGATACATAACACCTGGATGCTGTACGAATCCTCCCAATTTTTACTTTGGACGGGCCCACTAATTAACTTTACGGAGGATAGGAATAAGAAACTCATACGCGCAATATTCAGAGGAGTTTGGGAATTGCACTTAAGTTTATCCTCAACAAGCTAGTGGCTGAGAAATGACATAGATGCAGTAATAATGTCTTCCTATCAGTAATTGTGCCAAAAAATTTGACTTTGGGGTACGATGATCATTTGTTTAGAAATAGCGTGTATGACGGCCCGTTTCATTAAAAAACACTAAAAAATATTCAAACCCGATCATTTCCTTAGTCTTTTGAATTCATCATTTTTAATTGATCCGGAGAGAAAATCATAGTGTTCGTAATTCGTGAAATCAGTCAATGATTCGTGTGTAAAACCTGGTGAAAAATGGATTACTCCATAAGCTATGGAAAGATTGTTCCGCTTTGCAAATAGAATAGGTGATTATTCCACTGAAAAAAGCAACCCCGTTGAATGACAGTACGAAGAACAAAATGAATAGAGAGACCAAATTTCAGTGATGAATTGTCGTACAACATTAAGAAAATCCGGATGTGTTCTAACCCTCCCCCAGCACACACCCCAATGCACCCCATCCTGGTTTTCTGTTTTTGTTTGTCACACGTGAACTGAAAGGAGTACCATGAGTTTTAAGTTTTGATGAGAATCATGATTTTATTTACNTTTACTGACCTGTGTGCTCAGTGTGCGCCTGTTTCATGTGCCAATCCACCGGATTAGAGGAAGAGTGTGATAAAGTGCACGACGATATGTGACAAGGTACAAATACTTTTCGGTGTCAGTGCTCCCTGTCCACCTTCTCTCATTTTTCAAACTGAATATTCACTCATTCGTTCCGATTATATGAATCTTAATGTATTTTTAAGGATGCATGCATTCGTCGAGCCTGATTAGCATATGTTTAGTGAGCTAATACTCTCTTTTGATCCGTCCGACCTTACCGCTTGCGGCATGGTTAATGCCCTCGATGTTTTCCGGAAGGTATGCAAAACAATGTGTTTCTCAGCGAAATCATGAAGAGCCAGTGAAGCCAAACAGTGAGAGCACGAATTTTAAAACCGACGGATTAGCTAGTTATGACTATCCTTGATTAATCACAAGGTCTATCTATTGATTTTATTGTACACGCCTCTTTTCCCTTCTGATTTGAAGTGTATTATCCCCGCACTTTCTCGATCCATTTTGTTTGTACTAAATTTCTGTTTAATGGCTGATAATGACATTGCACAGTTTTTCATTGAGTGAGCACCATTTTAGTGTCCCTGCTAAAACGCGAATCGTGAATCTTTGAAGTGAAACGGGTACTCTCTTGGCCACACGGTCTATGAGCAACACCTTTTCGAACGAGACTACATCAAACTATTCTTCAATTGTCTTAGTATGTTCCTTTCTTTATTTAATGGGAGTACAAACGTTTTTAATAAGTGGTCGGCAAATGGACTGCTAAGGCATATGGGGNGGAACACGGTAACAGACGGCCGTCGTCGGTGAGGTTTGAACTCACAATCCACGGGGAGACAAAAAATCAATGTGTACTTCTGATGAGTCCTGACAAGGATAAAACGACTAAAATATATGAAAAGAGAGGTGTTATGAAAAGAGGAAATATACTTCTATCCGTTACCAGATTGAACGTTACGGAGAACGAGCGGTTTATGCTAGGTAAGCTGCCTTCACTTGTAGTCTAACTGAGTCCTGATACTGTATACTTTATGGACTTTTCCTGAAGAATGAAAGCACACTATATTCTTCAGATTAGAGTAGTTTTGTGTGTTATCGGAAACTAATCACACTAATGGAGTATACCATCCACATGATCGTTGAGCATTGCAGTATAATATCGACATTTTGGGACAACTTTACATTATCTGTGCCAGGAAAATCTCGTGCATACAAAACATATAGATCAGGTGGACATTTGCGACTTCGAAAGTGTCATTCAACAGAAATATATTTGAAAAGCTACACACTACTGAATTTATCACGCATAGTGTTGTCATAATATAAAGTAGAACCGTGTACTGGACATTGAACGACTGCAGGTATTTCGAAAAAAAGGCTACATGTTTTCATTGTGAATGCAACTTTTTCAGAAGTGCATTTACACGTGTTAAAAATCAATCATTCTATTCACAACCAAAATGTCTACACTACCAACGGGCATGAATGTTATGTCAGCTAGATGTTTATATGATGGATTATACGATTGAAACGTAACTGCTACCTGGTTTGGGCCAATAAGCTGCTGAATTTGTCTTGCAATACAGATGATTCAGTAATTTACCGAGTTCCTAGTATTGTTGGAACCCCAGTATACGAGTAACTTCGTGCACACGCTGTCAGTTCGAATTAGTTCATTCAATCCCCGCAACTAAATGGTGTCGGATGAGTGAAAGCTCAGATAAATAAACAGAACACTGCGTCCATTCATGTGATTGGGTCATTAAAGTGTAAGACACGCAACTCGCTCCTTGTAATGTTTCATGTCTGTGAGTGAATCGTGTTTTGCAATTACGTATCAGATCACTTCATCAGTCAAGTGCAGTTCACATGATAATCGACTGGGAAGCGCGTAGTGGGAATACGCAGCTTTTTTAGCGTTACGAGTGTGAATATCGGACAAGCGGAACGTATGAGATAGTTCGTCAGTAGTAGACTATATAAAGTACGATAAATGGAGTAGGTGTCACTTTCGGTTCCTTTGAATATGGTGTCTGTCAACCTGAAACATTTGAAGTGAAATGTTACCTAATTGGTTTTCGTGATTCCTTTATGGTCAGTGGGATAAGAGACCTACTATTACAATCTACTCATAAGCAAGGTTAAAAAAAGACTTATGATAAATATTAAATTACTTTTTCTTATCTTAGGTTGAAATTCGTTAGCACGTATACTGTCAGAAGAGCAAGTAATTGAACTTGTTGAATTAATACATTATAAATCGACCACGCGTGTTTATCAGCGATCAATCACAAAAACAATGTCAATAAAAGCAAGGAAAAAGCGTCAGTGTCGAATTCTTCAAAGGTTCTATTGATTGGGCCTGATTCTTGGAATAGCCTGATAGTATGTCAAGACTTTTCATTATAGTCTATTTTCAATTTTAAATATTTATGTTACCATTATTTTCATATTTTCCATATTTTCAATTGCATATTTTTGACAAAATGAACACAGGCATATTGATTATGAGCTAGACAGTGATTTTCAGTTTACGATGATAACTCTCACTCTCTCTCTCAAAGAAAATCCGCTTATTATATTCCTCAACACTTTTCCAGTTTCATAGACTACGTGCCTAAAAACATCAATAATCCATTAGAATATAAGACTGTTCACTGGTATGCAAACTCTGCTTGCTCAGTATATGCTTCGCTCAAATAATTGTCGTGATTAGTTCAAGAAACCTAGACCAGACTTGTAGTGAAGACTTTGCGGTCCAGTTCGTGTGTACCACTGCTGGCAGACTGAAGTAAATGTGGCTATGATTTCATTATAAAGCAATTTGCGTTTCTCAGAGTATGAACAGAATTATACCCATGCCTCAGGCTCACTGGACTGGATCGGTCTGTTGTCTTCAGATGCGAAAAAACTGAAAAACAATTTCAATGATTTTCAAAATATCGATCGATTTTTGCCAAAAGAATTGACAAGTCAGTCAGTAGCTTGGAATGGCTGTTTGTTGTTTGTCGTCAATTTGTAATTAGCATCTCTAAAATCGAAAATTACAAAGTTTTCCATCTAAGCAATACTCAAGGAGAACTATCTGAAATACTGTAAAGCAGATTTCACATGACAAAAATAACAATCAGACAGGATGTTCTGCTGTTTTCCTATGATCAGCCGTTTGGCCTATACTGTTTCTGGTTCGGTCCAGTACACTGACACCTCTGTGTGGGCCATGTATTTTGCCTTACTATCAAAGGTGCTATCTGCAATTTGCGGAACTAGTCGCGAAATGTGGAACGTCTCCATGTGGGTCATTATGATCTCAGTTTCCATTTTCAATGCGGTCGATGAGCTGGTAATTCTCAGAGTACCGATATTGTCACGATATTACCTTTAAGGCATTTAGAAATCCCAAGCGCATCCTGTATTTGTCCCTTGCACAATTTGATTATTCATTTTGTTGACTCGTGGATGACTCAAAAAAGAACTTATGCTTCGTTGTAAAGTATGTTGAACGTGATGCGTAGTTTTCTATTGGTATCTATCACTGAAATTAGCAATTCGTGATCGAAAGAAAAATTGATTCAGGGCGTTGTTTTATATGTATACTTAACCCATCATAATGAGAGGTTTATTGTCGATCACACTAACTTCACTGAAAACGAATTTATCATCAGATTGAACGGGATTGGAATAAATGAGCCTCGTGACTTCAGTTCGATTTGTAACGAAAATGATAGTCCCAGATGTTTTAAAGCTCAGTATAATCGTTACTCAAAATTCAATATGTAAATCATGCAGAAATTTGCTTTTCCTCAACAATACAATAGTGGTAGTGACTAGAGACTTATAATAAAGTTCTTATTCATTTCTGCTCTACTAAGTTTACCATATCTTGATAGGTCTGTTCTTCTGTTTAATTTAGCAGAAAGTTCATGATGTGAGAACTTAAATAATCCTGTTTTTTACTAGTTCCTACAGTTCAATTTCACTTCTGCGATGTCATTGATTTGAACAGTCTATGCGTCTTCTCATTAAATAATTCAATGTTTTAAACTTCTTGTCTTCAAATGTCCCATTCTGCTAGCGATTTTCCATGGATTACAACTCTTTGGAAACGATCCCGGCACAGGTATTTTCCAAAGTCGAACAGTTGACCGTGCTCTCCCTGTCAAACAACAACATTCACCAAATGCATGATGTTGGTGAGTTGACGAGATCAGTCACTCGTTCCCTGTTAATCTTTTGAATGAAAGGGGGATTTGCGCATTGCAGTGTGGTTCTACTAACCCAATCAGTCATTTTGACTGAAATGAGCAATATAACACTTGAAGAGAAGTACTGTGGTGCTCTTTTATCACTCAATGCAAACTCATCACTGACAGCCATCTCGTTGAAAACAGCAAACATTTCTTGAATCTTTCATTTAGATGCTTCAGTCCTGTTAAACATAGTAGACATATGGCACCTCTAAAAGTTACCGGAAGCGAAGAAGAAACGGATGGTCCTTCTATTCCGTGATCTTTACCTACGGGTCTACCTGAGGGCTTCGCAAAAATTCCTTTGATGGTTAAAATCATATTTACTACCTATATTGTACATATATGCATCGGGTATCAGCTGATGTGTGAGCAAATTGGAAACAACAATCCCATCTGACACTGCAGACCCGTTACGCAAACAACGTACTTTGGGCAAAGAATGAAAAGTAATTCCAAGTTGCGTTGCCCACGTGAATGTGGGAAAAAATACCTTTCGAAAAAAGATTACTCCATTATTTCACTAATGTGTTGTTGATCCAACTGCGCCGCAAATCGGTCATCTGTATCCCTTTAGTTTGTATTATCCGTGTCAATATAATATAACACAATATGCATAAAGCTTAACTTGACTTATTTGACTTGTAAAGTTCGTGTTCTCAGGATTTATACTTTGTTTCGGTCAAATAGATGCAAAGCTTCTTGAACCAAACATGTACTCAGCTACTTTCGGTCACCGCCGTACTCGGAAACCTTTTTGATCTTATTATATTTGTATATATTCAATCACTGCTCTAACTTTATATTGATCCCATTTGATACATTGTGCTGGTTTGACCTACATCTTTCCTTCTTGTCCATTTCATAGATGCTGAAATATTGATGCTATGGTGCCGTTGTGTATTAAATCAGTTTTAATTAATACAAACTTTGATTTCTTTTCCGAATGTTTGTGGACACTGTTTATTTAAATAAAAACTGGCTATTTCGTGGAACGTTTTCATTCTTATTACTGCCGATAAACATTTCTGCGAGCTGCATTAGTTTTATTAGATATTTTTAAGGAATACAGTATAATACAATCTAGTGCTGGCATGTACTCAGCCAGTAGATATTATCAGGCAACTTTCTCTCTTGTTCGCTAATATGACAAATCCTCTATGACACCGAGAGAGGGAATGCTTAATTAAAAAAATAATACTATTACGCTGAAACTGACACAAGTCGTCGTATATTAGTTTTGTCACAAAACCACGAACAATCTGGATGTCTGAGTCTGTCGAAAATATTTATCCTTTTTGTACAAATGTCGAACTTTTGCGTTTGTTTTATCTTGATTATTAGTTTATTTCAATTAAAAAATATATCTGTTTCCCTAAATGAAATCTGATTGAGTGATCTTATTATCTATGCGATTTGTCTGACCATTTAGGTGATATTTATTGCGCGACTGATGACGTAACAGCGCCGTGATTACACTATAATATTCCTCGGTAAAATCCAATTTTGCTACTGTTAAACATTGGACACAACCAGAAGAGCATCTAGATCCACTGGAGTCCTGGGAAAGATTCATTGAAACACTAAGAGAACTCATTACGGTCGCCACAAAATCCGAGCCTGTCGGTGCGTTGCCTACACGATTATCACTCACTTGTAGTCGAACCAAGCAATGGGTGTCACAGAGGATTTTCCCTTGGTGAGAGTTCAGAAGATGTCCGACCGCCGACACTTGAGATAACTATATGTTGTTGAGAAAGCTTTGTGTAAAATTAGTGCGAAAGGATAAACGAAGGTTTCAAGAAACTCTGGCACCTAAATTTATTACCAATTCAAAGCTACTGCATAAGCATATCAGTTCTACCAGAAAAGTGAAATATAGAATACCGGCACAAAAGCATGCAAGACGCGTTTCCACTACTACTGCTGAAACAGCCGAATTCCTAAAGCTCCAGTTTTACAAAATATTCACTGCAGGCAACAAAGGCGAATTACAGCTTCCAAACCTTCTATCAAGTGTTCCATACCCCCAAATGACCACCGTCACGTTCAAATCTGAAACGGTTAAAAGCAAACTATTGGTGCTGCGCCGGATTTCATCTCCAGGGGAAGACAACATACGGCCCCAGACCCTGACGTCCTTGGCAAATTACGTATCTGAAATAATTGCCGATTTATACCAAAGAATGTTTGACAAGACGAAGATCCTTCAATTCTGGAAACGGCATCATTTCGCCTATTTACAAAGGTGGCTGCAGAAGTGATCCTGCGAACTACCGTCCAGTTACACTTCTTCCTGTTCTATCAAAAGTAATGGAATCGATTGTTACTGATTCTCTGATGGATCCTTTCGAGAAGCATAACATATTTTCGCCGGCCCGGGTTTCGAAAGAAACGCTCGTGCACCACAAACCTACTACTTGTACGAGATGAATGGACAAAATTAGCCGACGCAGAAGAGGCAGCAAAAGTAGGTTACCTAGACTTCTCCAAAGCTTTTGACAGGGTTAACCACCGTATAGCTCCATAATTACGGTACCCGAGGACTGCTACTGGACTAGATTGAGGAATTTCGTCGACAACGTACCGTATCGGTTTGAGTTCATGGTTTTTGTTGGGGCTGATTGAAGCTGTCCGTGGAGATCCAAAAGGATCCGTACTCGATTCACACCTTTTCTTAGCATTCATAAACGACCTACCAGATACCCTTGCAGAAGAAGCATTATTATTTGATGATGACGCCAAAAAATGGAGGACGGTAAAATATCCTGAAGAATATGAAACCTTACAGGAAACTCTCAACGCCGCTTACCGATGATCCGTCACAAATGACAAGAATTCAACGTTGAAAAATGCAAGGTTGTATCGCTGCGCCATAGGGGTCGCTTTTCATGCTTACTTGGAACTCAGCCATTGCCGCGTCCTGCAAACAAAAAGAACCTGGGAGTTATCGTTCATGAGGATCTAGGATGTTCCACACATTGCGCAAGAGCGTCTTCAAAGGCTATAAAACACGTTGGATTGCTGAAGCGTTTTGGATCATTCCAAATAGACCTATTGACCCGTTTGTTATCAGCGTACATTAGACCACACATCGAGTGTGCTATACGGGCTTGGAATCCATGGCAGATTCGCGACCAAAAGGCACTTGAACGTCCGCCGAGAACAGCAACCAAAATGGCCAAAGGGTTACATTCTAAAACTTGCGGTGAAAGATTGCGAATTCTCGGACTCTACTTGTCTGAATACCGTCGAATGCGGGGATACACGATCCTCGTTTATCAAATACTACATCAACCTAGCCACCCGTGTAGTACTTTAGTGACGCTATCCGGGAATGGTCTCATTCGAGGACATCCGTTTAAACTTCTGCTCCAAAAGAGCCGGTGTCATTCTTTCAGCCTTAGAGTTTGGAACACCTAGAACTCTCTTCTATCTCAAGTTGTTTGTGCACCAACCATTGATTCATTCAAGTCACGATTGGATGAAGCATTGAAACACCAAACTTTTCAGTACCCGTGGGTGAACGTCAGAATTTGCTATTCAATCTTACTACCAACCGAACCCAGTGTGTACAGATCTTATGGGATTCAATATTTACCTATAATAAAAATTTGCATTTAGATTTTACAGGATAGTCATCGGACTTTACATTCAATTGTTTCGGCATGTGCATAAATGAAATAAAAAGATAGATAAGCTCCTTCAGGTAAGCCCAAATAATTTGCATTTATGTGAAAATTTATCTCTTGTCCGTTATACTGTTAACAGCTTCTTACTGGAATCTTCTCGTCGAACTGGACCTTTCGTACAACGTGATCGATCGACTTCCGGATAGCATTGGTGAACTGACAGTCTTAAAAGTACTTGACTTGACAAGTAATCGATTAAAAGTGAGTTTTGTTGTGCTAGCAGTCTGCCTTATACCTGTTTTCGAGTCATTGTGTGCCTTGTTTAACTCAAGAGTATAAAACTTTTACCCCCTGATTCATTCTACTCATTAGTAGACAAAAACGAATCTTCCAGTAGATCGTGTTTCATTTGAGGAAATTAATTACGTTTTTGGCATTGACGAATAACCTTAGAGTATCAAATCAACACATTGGATCATTGCATCCATCTGTATCAATCTTTAGTTACCCTATGTATCATCTTCCTTTTGTCAACAATAATGAAAATTGAGGGAACCGAAGTTTTTTTCAAATATTCATTTCGTTCTAATCAGATATGAAGTAGAGTACAGGGCAGACGTTTCGTCCTTGTTGGGACTCATCAGCTGTGCATGAATGAAGAAACTGTGAGGATTCAAGTAATCGTATGAGTTCATGTTGAGGGTAGCACACGAAGTTCTATTCTCTCTCGAATTTAATCTAACATCCTGTGTTTCGGCCGTTCCCAACCAGACGTCGAATACGGTAAGCACTTTGCCGGTATGCACGACTGATTAGATCACGCGAAAACAAAATATTTATGAAATGATATTTCCCGGTCATGGCACAATAGTTTTCGTCCCCATAAATGCGTGATTACAGTGTGGGGTATNCCCCCTAATAAATAAGAAAGGAAGAAACCAGAAACAAAACGCTCACGGGCGCATGTGCACCTAAAGCGAGATGTAGAGAATGAAAACACTTACCAAGCGAATTTCTTACATTCAAGTTTTTTTCTTATTGTCTTTCAAAGACCCTACCACGAAACATCGGCAAACTTTCTCGCCTAACGCAGCTACATGCGGAATTCAATCAGATCACCTTTTTGCCGTTAGAAATTGGCGATTTGGTCGAGCTGAAATATTTAAACTTGGAATCGAATCAGTTGCCGAGATTACCAAGTTCTATCGGGTATGTTTAATTGAGTGTTTATTTTGGGCTTAGTTTTACTAGAGATGAATTCCATGGCTGTATACATAGTTTACAGTTGAATGTTTTTTGTATGCTCCAAACAATCCGTACTATTATTAGTGGTCCTTGGACCGGTGCACGAGCACAAAATCCATTTTCCATGCTGTTCGAACAAGAGTGAGATAACCTCTTCGATCATTACAAAAGGAGCAAGCACGTTGGAAGTTCTCAACCGCACCATTTTACTGAATGTGTTTGCAAGTGCAAATGGGAATAGTACTGCCAATGGAATACTACCAAGGCTAACGCTTCGCCGACTAGTACAAGAGCAGGTAGAACCAATATGAGTGGTGGATACATAAGTGTTCATAAAACTCGTGCAACTTGAATCTCATTTTTCAAATACGTTTTGGTTTCCAATATGATACTTGTATATTGATTGTTACGGGTGAAGTGTATTTATTCCTTTTTTATCGCCCACTTCTATATTCTTAGTTCTCTTTTAATACTTTTCATGCAAGCATGCCAAAAATATCACAAGTCTCAATTTACTTCTCTCCTGTCCTCCTTCATGTAAATGAGCGGCCACAAAATGGCAGAAAAAACAGCTCCACGGAAGTGCAAGTTTGGTGACTGGAAAAACTGGCGCAGAAACTCAAAGTTCACAATTGCTGAGATAAGTATGATCAAACACGCTGTGGGGAGGAATAGCATATGATCACTTTTTTATCTGCAGATAATCAAATAATTTCCATAATTCGGGTGATTATTGCTTGACTGTTTGCCGAAGGTTTCACGGTCGCTTTATTTGCCCGTGATTATGAAACTTTTACGGTTCTTTAACTAACTAATACCCAGTGCTCTAGGCTATCCGATCAAAACTTATAATCAAAGACAATTCTGTGAACGCTATTGACAGTGACTGAGTAGATCAACTGATCTTGGGTAAATGTTCGTACTCATCCGATCTTTTGAGCATAGCACGATGCTATCCGTACGTAGCAAATTAATGCATTCGCAATCACAAAATAAGGCTAAAAAGCTTGAGTGTTTTTCTCAAGGCCTCATTAAGCTTGTTGTCGACAATGAAATAATTGCCGGAATTACTTAGGCTATCAGTCTGTTAATATCTTTTATGAACATTTGTTCTGGTGCATATGATACTTGAGAAATGATTTGAAAGCATGAAAATGAATTATCTCACCCAATCTACTCCGTTCCCATCTAAGAGAGCTCAGTTTAAAGAATAAAATCAAACACCGAGAGTAGCCTGTAGACTGGCTTTATACATTACTAAATGTGGCGGCATTTGGGGTACTGTTATTGCAAAAGTAAACAAAGCTATAAGTATTGTTTCATCAAATTACGTGTGTGCAACACAACCCATTTAGTTTTATCTAGATGTACAACAAGAGTGAGACGCAAAATGACAACAAAAGACCATGCTATTACCAACTGCATTGAAAAAAAATTAAATACTGTGATTCGAACGTCACAATCAAAAAGTATTTACTGTGCATCTACGGGAATTAAGAGTTTTCTGAATCAGGTCGTCCGAAACTGCTGTCATGATACAAGTATCAGAATAAAGAAAAAATGGTGAAGACTACAAAGGGAATATCAATTGGCGTCGAAGACTTTCTTGGCTGCTCATGCTACCGTAGAAATGTTGTTTTGTTTTTCAAAATAGTAATGTACCATTTGATGAACAAATTGCACTACCAAAAATGATCTTCGGAAGATTGTATCCTTTTACCCCTAACAACCGCTTCATTTACATCACCCCGTTTCTAAGTAATTCCTAACTGTTAGTCACCCATTTTGACTATTTTTGAGCAAAACTGTATGAATGAGCAAAATTCTAAAAAAGCACATTATTTCTGCACACAGAGTCTTCTATAAGATAATCTATGCCATATCTTCATGTATAACGAAACCCTAAAACTGCAATGATCGGAAACTCATCCTGTTTTACGACAGTCTAACAGAAAATAAAATTAATTCCGTTTCTAATCTTTAATCTGCTTAAAACACTTAGTTTATAAAAGATAGCGTTGTGCCTCCAACTGTTTATTATCGACGATTAGCAACCATTTTGAACCGTTTTGTTATTGCAATTATTTTTTGCCTCCGAAATAACGTTTAATCCATTTCCGCTCAAACAACTTTTTTCTGATATTCGCAGGAAGTTAACAAATCTCGAACAACTCAGACTGACTGATAATATGCTACAACGTCTTCCACAAGAAATGGGTGAGTATATCCATCACTTTGAAATTACGGAAGCGATATATCAGGGCTAAGTAAAAACCCATTTTGGTCTGAAAATCAACCACTTGGCATAGACTTCACTGATCGACCAATAGAACATTTTGCACCTCAAATCATTTGCTTTTCATCGTTTGTTGTTCATCAAATGTTACCACAGATTTTGTGCACACTATCAACGGAAAATTAGTCATTTTGGTAAAAATAGAATCTTCATGATTCAGCTGCATTTATGCTCATTTTAAAATACGTATATTCGAAAGACAATAACTCAATAACTGCCCTATTTAAAATAACAGATTTTATATTACGTTGTAAACTAAATAAAAATGGAAATAATGAGGTTTTTCTATCATCTTATTTCATTATGGATTCGTGCGAAGAATACCATTATTATAAATTCCAAAATATGCCCATTATGACATGAGAGCACTGCAGGTGAATGACCTGAGCCAGTCCCTTTTGTGCACGTAGATTGAGTGTGAACAAGCGAATGCCGATCGCTTCCGCAATGGCTAGGGTGAGCAGATGCAGGAACTTCAATGTTTGAGGTGCTACTTGATAGATAATTTTGAAGGTTGAATCAGGCTTCCCTTGGTGCCTGAGAGACAAAGCACTGAATAAGGTTTCTCTTTTATATGAGTGGCACAAAACTGGGATAACTGGTGCACTGTCCGATCCACATTTCTTTTCTGTCTATCCTTCTTTCAAGCAGCTCAAAAGACCTGTGCAGAGCTACGTCAAGGAATGCGAGTTAGTTATCTTTCTCTGCCTCCAGGGTAAACTTTATGGACCTATGAGCATTTGAAACGTTTGCATGATATGGATTGGGTCGTTCTCTTTGTCAGTTATGCAAAATATATAGTTGACATATCGCTTATAGAATTCCAACTTTCCAATTTCGGATTCTAGGACTGAGTTCTCCAGTTTGGCAATGAACACATCCACTAATATCGGTCCTGGTGTGGAGCCCATAGCGACACCATCCCTCTGACGATACAGTTTTGCGTTGAATAGAAACTGCATGACGAAAGTGCACTACAGCAGCAATTCTTATAGTTTTCTTAGCGGTACTTTTATGTCGATTCCATTTTCTTCGATTCAGTTCCAGATGAAACCAACATATTCCATGAGCGGAACGTTCGTGACAACACATCTAGAGAAAAACATTTGATTGTCGTTTGTCTTCTGTTCTATGATCGTAATCACGGATTCTTCAGTGTCCCGTGGGTTGTGTTTGGCTATTTGCCGTTGAATTGGCTCTAGAATTTTTGCCAGCCATTTCGTGGTGCCATGATATGGGGAGTTGACTAATAATACAATAGATGTCACAGATAAGCCCGTCTTATGAATTTTTGGTAATCCGTACAGACGTGGATCCACAGGGTTTAATCTTTTCGAAAATGGATGGATCTAAGTGACCTTGATCTTTTAGAAAACGGGGGCTATCTGTGATTTGCTTCTCAACGTGCGCGGTTTTGCCAAGCTCCCTGGGAAGGTGAATAGGTTTAGTCTCATCGTTCAAAAATTCTGATAACCTGAGATTTGTTCATTATTACGATTGTGTCTTCCTTATCCGGCTTACTTAGTACGATTTCATCTCATCTTTTAATTGCTTTGAGGTCGCCAAGTGTTTCCGAGTTAGTGGTTCAAGATTACGTGGACTGTGTTTGCGAACTTGGTAGCAGCAGTTTACTTAGGTGGGCTTGAATCGCTTTAGTTCATTTACTGAATTTATCATGTTGAACTTCTATTCCAAGTAGATTATAATTTTGCGGGGACAACAGAAATTCACGCCAAAAGACAGGGCGTCGATGGGAATAGGATTCACTTACAACTTGGACTAATTGTGCACATAGCGTTCAGGTTGCGATGGAAAACGGCATTGGGGTGTGGTGTGATTCAGTCTGTGTTCACGTTTGGATGGCTTTCTGCGGCAACTTGCTTCCTTGATCAACTGAGCGCAGCATGGAATTCACTGCGCTCTTGAGACATGAGTTCATCAATAGCGGTTTGCTGTTGGAATAAATTTCGCTCGTATTTTGGTAGTTTGTCACTTATTGTATCACACGGATTCAGTGCATATCGTCAAAGAGTTTTGGAAGTGGGGTAAATCCGATTTTGGCTTAGAGATTTCCAGTAATGTCTGGGGTTACATATTGAGTTTCACAAATTTATCAATGAATTAAATGGAAACATTTGCCTCCGCCAGCCTGGTGGTAAAATTCAGGAACGTATTTAGTTCCAAAACCACACTAGACTGCTTTGAAAGTTTTAAAACCAGTGACACAGAGCAAGCAATAGATTTTGTGAATTTCTAACCAGTTTATATCGTGCTTTATTACCCATCCCATATGAAGAAGAAATACAGGAGGGTTAGTCGTTGGCTAGTTCACGGTTTATTTGTCCGACGAGGGGAGGGGGCTGAATGTGTATTCCCTAAGGTTAATAGACTACGTGAAACAGTCATCAACTGGTTGACTCCTCATTTCTCTGTCAATATCTAGAGTGGCTGAATATGCGTGCTGCATATAAACTTGTTTATCTGATAAATAGACTGTTTTTTGTTTCCTACGGTGGAATCCTTGCACACAGCCTTCGTCCTATGGTAGTTTTAAGTGTCTTTTAATGTGGTGAGTAAAGTGTCAACTTTGCTTGACCTGCACACGTTCTCACTCCTTTCTTCCCTGGATTATCGTTCCATTGATTCATCCACCCTTGGGATCCCTTTTGTACCGATTAGGCCAACTGCAAAATTTGACACATCTGTATCTGAAAAATAATTCACCCTTGGATCAACTACCGATCGAGCTGGCTTGCTTGCCAAAACTTCAAATCTTAACGCTGGACGGATGTAATCTGCGACTGTTGCCACCGGATGTTGTACAGGGTGGAGCTGGTTCTGTGATTCGGGTAAGTCAGCACGAGAGGTCAGCCTTTGTGCCTCGTTATGCTGGAGATGCACGGAAAGAATATAGTGTCTATTCGCCCTTATTCGTCGCCTATTTCCATCAGGATTTGACAAGAACATTTCCAAAACGTTTATATTTAGATGAGAATAAAGCAGTGAGCGAATTTTACCTGTGACAACACCGACATCGAACCGTTCGTTCCTTGTGTGTTATCTGTTGATGTGTTTGTTCCCCCTGTCTGCTACGGTTCCCTAACGTGTGAATAATGATGTCGCATCTAGGGACAAAGGTCACATCTGTCACTTGATAAAATGAACCTTTCATTCAAAATGCTGCCAGGTAAAGCAGTCCTAATTTCAAACGCAGTTAGATCAAGGTATTTTCGGATCCAGGTTTAACTTCGACCTATTACGTTTGTTGTGGCCTGCGGTCGAGTGAAACGTTTACCGTGCATCACGTGTTTGACCGTTGCGGCCTGCCACCACACGCACGGACGCACGTCATGCGGACTTACCCTGTTACACGGTCGATCCACCTCAATGAATCAGAGGTCAGTATTGATCTCTCCTCATTGATTGGTTCGTTGACTGCCCAGCGTGACGACACTCCGTTTGGTAAGACTTGCGCCAGTTCTGTGCTTGCCTGTCTGCGTGTTGACGCACTGCTTGCTCACCGGCTTACGGACCGGCTACGTTTGCGTTTACATACTGGAAATATAATTACTACTTAATTCGCTACCTGCGTACTTACTGACTCATACCGGACACAACAACAAGGTTGAACTTTTAAACACCTTTTCAGTCATATATTTTCTACACATATGGGTATGAATGCGAGAATATAGGGTATATATCGGTTGATCCAGAGCTGTCCTGTAATCTTATTGTTAACTGCCTGAGTGTACCTAAATAAAAAACGATATTATACATTCATCACAAAAATATAATGAATCACCGTAAACCAACAGGAAAAACAAAGAACAATAATTGGTCTCACCGATTTGGGCCCAAGAAGAAATCTGTATATCACTCTAGGTAATAGTTTGATTTTACAAATGAAAATATAAGAGAAATAACTAGAAACTGGTTCAATTCATGATAAATAGTCAAAGCATTTGTTTACCATTAGATAATTACCACTGAATAACTCGCTACCTGTTTACCGGATTTATTTCTTAGTATGGACTTCACATATTGAATTGGAAAGTTGTGGAAACCTTACTTAGCAAAGAGCCAGAATGTCATTCCGCCACATTATCAACCGGTATAGGTACGCTGTCTGAACTGATTGAATGTGACTGTTCTCACCACTTGCACAGGTCTACTAAACAACAACAGTAAGAGGGATGTCGGAATATATATCGACGACCTTCTTCCTCATTTTAATTGTGCTTATACATGCACATGCTCATGCACACTTTTCGGTATTACCACTGGATGATTGCGTTGGAAAGTAAACAGCCGTAAACAAAACTGATTTGTAATGCGGTTTTTATGCAGGCAAAGTGAAGCGGTGTTCTTCATGTTATGAATATCTCAGTCGCATTTTTGATCTGCGGAACGCAAAATCAAATGGAACATCATGACACGAGACATTGTGATGCAGGATTTCACAGCACCTCATATTCAGTGACACACGATATCAATGTCATGAATATCGGCACAGATTTTGGTCGCTCGGATTTTGATTGTTCTGAATACAGAATGGAATACATGGTCCAGATGTGGCTATCGGTAAATCTGTCAGTAAGCGGCCTTATGAAAGAACACAAATCAATCACTATAGTGATGAACGGAGGCATTTAAAAAAAAGACGTTTTGGATATGTGTATTGTTTAACAGCAAACATCACTTTAAATCTTGGATTCAGTTGCTCCAATAAAAAACCAAATAAGTAATTACCCAGGTGCTCACAAATCCAGGATCTTGAATTTCCCTAAAACGTAATTTATGCAACCTCGAGTGTAGTGTGTGTATAGCGTGAGTGAGTTTCAGTAGGGATATATTACTTCTTTGTTCGACGCGAGCGTATTTACGACCAACCTGAGTACTGTACGTGGCATAAACGATGGAACGACTTTCAGCTAACGTCAAACAGCAACTCACTACCGGTCATTAGTCAGTTCAGATGGATTCCTTCGTTGTTGAGCGCTGTCGGGCTTTATGGATGGAATCATGTTTCTCACTTTCGGTCACACATTGGGCAGCGAAACAGATCTTGCTGTCTCGAATTATCTATCATGCTGATATATGTCTTTTATATCTTCCTTTTATCCTTTTATCTGAAAGTACTTCCGTAGTCTGTTGCATGCGAATGCGGAAATGTTCAAACACTTACAACACCTGGAGGCAACTCAAGAAATTTGTGGTGAACCACCGGGACAGTCTCTGCGGAAACTGTCTACCTCATTCTCTCACACCTTTCGTCATTCGAACGCCCGAATGTGAACGGTACAATCGAGTCCGGATTGCATGTCTATTCCAATAACGATACAAATTGGATTATCACTCGCGAATTGGCTAAATTGTGCACACGGTCGGTTACACTGAGGCGAATCGAGGTGTGTCCCATTATACCCGGAAACCGATCCGCGATCCTCGACAAAATCCGCCATGCGCATGTTTCAAATCGATTTCTGTGTTCATTTATATTTTGCACTCTATCCGGATGCAATATTTTGTACTAATTTCCACCGGAGTTTACTATCGGGTTGTTCTCACGAGAAGTAAATGATTCTCAATCATAACAAGTTGATAATCGTTCTCTTTTGTTCACATTTTCTTTGTATTGATCTTTCCTTTTTGGTGGAGGGTGGATGGATTTTGGTGGATGATAAAGGCAAGTTGTTCTTAAGTGCTATAGATATTTCCAACCTCAGGCGAGCGACAGAAGTTCTACATGCTTCAATGATTTATCGTTTGCGTTGTGAAGAAACAATTTTTCAATAATTTCTAAACCATTGATTGGAAGCAAAACAACAACCACCAAGCATAGATTATTATCCGATAACAGCATAAATTATTAACGCATGAGTTAAAAATGAGGATCAAACTGGTTTTTGACAGTGAGGAACAAAGCGAGTCAGTGATTGTTGCGACTCCATGGCTAACAAATCCTTGCTCATGCTGGACTTTAAAACTTTACTACCAGTGGATTAATATTTGGCAGTAATCTTCAAAAGTCAAAGCTTGAAGGCTCTTCGTACTTGACTCACAGTTACTTCTGAGTAGTTTGTGTGGGGGATAAGTGATATTGATTGATTCGACTGACTATCCTTCGGACTTAACCTTCACACACAATCCTCAGTTTATGGATTCAACATACACTCGGGAGCGTTAGACTCGAGTTTGGCTCTTATTAGAGCTCGTCAGTAGTGCATATCCATCGTCCCGTTCCGGATTTGAACTCCAAACCCATCGCATGGAAGGCGTGTGTGTTACCACTGAGCCAACCAGCTCATGCCATAACTGAACCAAATTGTCAATTCATGTTTGTTCAGGTGTTGTTTTCAGTGATGGTCAGTGAGTTCATTTGGCCCGAAATCAACGAACGGAGACAGATGACAACCTGTTAACTCCAATGAAAAGTCTTCCATGCGATGGGTCAGGAAATCAAGTCCCGTACGGGACGGTAGATACGCACTACTGACGAGCTCTAATAAGAACCAAACTCGAATCCTAGGCCTCCTACTGTATGGTTGACTGGATGAATTGAGGATTGTGCGTGAACGTGAAGTCTGAAGGATAGTCAGTCAAATCAATCAAAATAGGGGAAGTCAGGCGGTGGCGGCGGGATTCGATCAAACGTCCTCTGGGCCTATAATTTGGAAACCTTCAGCACTCGGCTCCCACGTTACTTGTGATTCACTGTGGGTGAACGAAAAGCGCAACCTCAATAGGTAACCGAGGCTTGTCAACACAAGTCGAGATGCGGGACTAACGCACCAGAAGTACATATTGAATCAGTTTTCGTTCGGTGTTCGCCGGGTGGGCTTAAGCGCGTATCACAGCGGAAAACGCATGGATTTTTTTAACCTGTGAGATGAAACCAGTTCGTTTTGGATGATCCAGACAACTGAAATTAATAGTGGCATAAATTTAGGAAAATTGTAGCACTTCCACAAGCATATAAATTGAGAAATTCTGTAAAGGGTTGTAGTGCCTATTCAGTAACCTACCGAAGTGGTCGCGATATTAAGCACTGTTGAAAATTCAGACTCGTTTGTCAAAAAATGCGAACCAGAGTCCATGGAAAAAAGTTACACTGACATGTATCCAACCGTCTGGAATCGTACTCACAATACCTTTGGTACAACTAGATGCAATCAGATTTTCTCGATTGCTAACTATTTAGCCTTGGTCGATATTCTGTACATGTCACATCCTCTCCAGTACTGAACGCGCCTTGACAAACGACATATCTTACTGCAAGATAAGTTGATGTTCAAGTAGAAATTACTTTGCAAACCAGCATTCCTAAAACAGGAAAGAAACCTTTCGTGATTCAAAACGAGTACACAGAGGAGTATTGAAGAAAAAATGCTCTAAAATGAATGGGAACTGGTAAAGCTTTGCTGGTTGGCCGATTGGCATTAGATGGTACGATTTGGGTGGTCGATTCAGTGGTGCCACTGAAAAAAAAGAAAATGAAATGAAAATTTTTTGTGATGCCATGTAGCAAGGTTTCAGCCATTTGGTTCTATGGATTAGAGGTTTGTCTTTGTTTCATGAGTAACCTGAATTTCTCCTTCAATATTTAAAGGATGGGAAACCAGTCGTGTTTTTTTGAAGAAGACCATTAGGTTTCGCACCAGGTTAGATGTTTCCCCGTGTCCTAAAAATCCGTCATGCTGTACCTACTTGGGTGTACACATTATGTTTGTGTATGCCGGCAGCTCTGATTTTCCGACACTCATCTTTCTACCTAGCATGTTTGACTGTGTGATAAATGAAATGTCCTGTATCTTTTACATGTACAATAAAACATTTCGGCAGTTCCCCGACAATTTTTCCGACGAACGGGTTCTCCATATTCCGGTGAAAAACCATTCTCCGTCACACCCTGATTTTTTCATATTACCCCAAATGTTCTCTGTAGAAATTGAATCAGGGTCGAGCGAGGACTTGGGTTTTGCGGAACAGCGATCAGGTATGATTTGTGACTTAACTTGTCTACCTTCTGCGTTATGCCTTACTAACCAGACTCGATCGAAAGAAGGCAGTCATTACGAGTTAAACGTATGATTATCCTGTCTGGGTACTCTCCAGAAATAGGCGTTCTGCAGGGCTGACACGTATATTTCCACACAGTACAATGCTGAGCTTCAGTTGCAGTTTAAACAACCATTAACCATGCACTTTTGTGCGCCAGTTTTGGTTGTTCTCTTTTGGCTGCCCATTGGGATGAAGAATAGGAGAAGAAAAGAAAGTTGAAAGTGGAGTCGAAAAGAAAATGGAGAAGTTCAGTAGTCTTAGGTTGCAAAGAAATTGAGGAGCTGCACGAACGCCACAGTTTACGATAACCAGCCATATCGCTCAGTGTGTCTAACCATCGGTTACGATCATTCCGAAATCCCCAGCCAGTGAGTCTAACAGGACCTATGTGACCCAGTTTCCTGGTTAGGGTTTTCATACCCTCGTGCCAGGTCTTAACTTGACCACCCTTGGCTTTTTTCCACTCGGTATCTGCTTCGGCGAACGTCGCTCGCCATGGCAGCCTATCTGGTGACATGCGTAACACATGTCCCCGCCAACGTAATCCATGGAGGTCGACCACTTGCTCCAGTGGGCGACCGCGGATACCCAAAACTCTGCCCCTAACCTCAGCATTGCTCATCCGGCTACCCCACCAGATTCGTGCAATGCTGCGAAGACAGCGGTGTTCAAACACCGATAGTCTGTCTTGTTTTCTTAATGGCCAAGTTTCTGCACCGTATAGCAGAACTGGCCGAACTGTCGCGGCATACACTCGACCCTTCACAGACAGCCGGATGTTGCGACGGCGCCACAGATGTGTCAAGTTAGCGAATGCCAACCGAGCCTTCTGTGTGCGAGCAAACACTTCATCCGTGATGCGTCCACCGGGTGAGATGTAGCTGCCCAAATAACAAAACTTAC